GCCTGAACCATACGCTCGCAGTCGACGGCCCGACAGATGCGGACACTCTGTTGACCACCAGTTTTGTCCGCACAGACGGCGGGACTGTTGTCGTCGCACTCAATGTCGGCGACACTCCTATCGATGTGACCATTAATGACGTCAAACGGCGACAAAATATCACACATTTATTGAGCGCTCATTCGATGCAAACTTATATTTATTTCGATAATTAAAAAATCAAATAAATTTATTTATAATTAAAGTTTTATTAATTGCAACAATTATTAGATATAAGAATTTTGTGTTTTATAATTGATAAATGTATTCTAGTATAATATTTATGATAATTTATAAATTTAAATTGATCATGGTGAAAAAATATAAGTTCGTTGAAAATTACTAAAATATTTCATTAAAAATATTAACTCCAAATGCCATTACATGTACTCTCGTATGGATTGTCGAGAATAAGTGACATATCGTTGGGATTCAAGTCTTTCACACGAATCACAGATTTATCCCAAAATTGTGGCCAAACCTCATGTGGTTTACTAAAAATGTTTGTAAATTTTTAATATAAATATAATTTTATTAACAAATACCCAGTCTTTGCAAAATTGGTCTACATTTTCATCACATCAATACTGAAATCATAATCAATTTCATCGTAAAGTGTGGGTGACCTGAGCGGAGAGCCCCAAACAAAGGGCACGTCCAGTGCGTGACAGACATCTCCGCCAACACATCCGTACTGTTTGGCCAGAAATTGTGATTTGAAATTAAAACGATAAAAATACACAGCATTTCGGCCACTATTGGCGTAACTCTTGGCGAACCGATATGTGGGACACGTGAACACCAGATCGCCATATAATGCACTCAACTCCGCCTTCAGTTGCGATGAATTGGTTTTGTGGACACCATTGAGATAATGATCGCACACTTTGTCCACATCTATGTTATGGTATTCGGCGCTCAAATTGGCCACAATTCCCCGAAACTGGTGTTCAGTTATATCGGGTTTCAATGGCCGGTATAATACAGGGGCAAACATCGTTCCCTCGTCTTTAACCGTACCTGCAATTAGTTCTACATCTAATACATAATGATAAAACATAACAAGGTTTGTGAGCTCTGGCCACATATTAGCCTCAATTCATTTCTAGCATTAAATGGCATTAAATTCTAAACTAATGGTATAATTTACCCGAATTATAAAAGTTGTTATCAAATGCATGTTTTGGCAAACGTGGCAAAAACTCTGTGCCAAACACGGCGTGTGTGACACCGATGTGACCGGACACTGGTGTCTCAACAAACAGGTTCGGGTCGTCTATCGCACGCAAACAGTCCAACCATTTGTAGTCAAATTCATCGCAATTCAAACGTCGGGTCAATTGTTTGGCCCTTTGGAGGGCCTCAACAGTGCTGAGCGCCGGACGGTCTCTGTTATGCATAACGGACCCGCTCTGCATAATAGCCCTCTTAAACAGACCTTTCGATAGGGGAGACAATATGTGCGCCGATACGGACCAACTGCCGGCACTCATACCAAATATAGTGATCCGGTCCTTATCTCCGCCAAATAAATCTATGTTTTCTCTAATCTATTATTATAGTAAGGCTTATAATTAGCAAACAAATATCGGTAATATTAAAATGTCAATTAGGTAGAAATAAATCGATGTCTGTACCACGCTTAATTTCGTAGACTAAAATACTGACTTATGAATATAATAAAATAATTTACTATTTTTTGTGTAAATGTAAATAATTTAAGATAATTTAAAATTATTAATTTTATATACGCTTTGAATACCCATTTAAGTGCCAATAACTGGTCATAAAAGCCGGCATTTCCCGGCGCCGTCTGATCTCCGCCGCCGTATAGGAAACCCAACGGTCCGACCCTATAGTTAGCCGCCACCAAAACCACACCATTGGTGGCCAAAAGTGAACCGTTTAAATATTCATGAAATATTGTGCCACTATATAATCCGCCGCCATATATGTAGAACATGACTGCGTTGAGCGCCACCACACCCTTCGGCCCACTACTGGCCGTATTTGGTGTCCATATATTTAATACTAGACAGTCTTCGCTGATAGTCATAATGTTGTCTGAATTCATACGTGATTTAAGGCTTTGTATGCAAGAATTGCCGACTTTTGTGTCATCGATTATACCCTAAATTAATAATAAGAAAAATGTTATTTTATTTAATGTTTATTAGTTTATTATTTATTTATTTGGGTTAAATACTTCTTTTGGGGCTTTGAGTGGTACGGGAGGGGCGAACCTAAAGGGGCCTAAAGGGGGCTTAGCGTAGGGTATATTCAAGAATTGATGTATTTTGCGATTCAAGACATGGAGTGTCTGACCCCTCACTGAACCCGAACTCGTGTTCACATCAATACTATTTGAATCGCAAACACAATATAGTATGAAACACACAATTATTATTGTTTGTTTGGTAAATAACATCGCGATAATTATAATTGTCGAGATTGATCAAGAATGAATTGGAATAATTATTTAATAGGAAGTTTATTAAAAATTCTGAAATATTATAATTGAATTGAATTTATTGATTTTTATACACATGAATATATGCAATATAATTAATTTGTGAGTTACTATACATAGGTTTAGTTGACATTTTGCTATAGTCATTATTCAATAAGCTTCATCATTACAAGTGTATAATGATTACTTTACATAACTTATATATTTTTGATATAACTATGAATTAAGATTTATAATAATAAATTTCAAATAATATTACTAAGGTCACTCGGCAGAAATAATTTATTTTAAATGCACATAAATGGTAATATCATATGTACTAATGTATTATTTATAAAAAATATTTTTATTCTAGTTATTTAGATTAAAACACCATTATTAAATGTATTATTGTATTTTTAATGGACTTAAATTATGATTGTTCATAACTAATCGTTTACTGTATATAATTACACTTTACATCGTAATGAAATTATATTGTTTTTGATATGTTATTATTACAATAGTTGGACAAGTGTAAATGTACGTATCTCAATGTATTACAAGGAAACAAATAGTAAATGTTCTTATTGAATTTTACATATTTATTATTAAGAATCGGCATAAACTACTAACCTACCAATTATTAAAATATTAGATTATATAAATTGTTTATTATGTTGTATTAAATTTGATATATATCTTGTATAAATAATTTTAAATACAATGCAATCGCGAACAACACATTGCAATAGATATGACATAGAGTTATCACTTTATAAATACGGTTTGTTTTATAAATTTAATTTAAACGTCAAAAGTGTCACAAAATACAAACAAATTAAACAATGTTTTAAAGTTTTTATTGTTTTAATGATAAATATATTGAATTTCATACGCTTTGCGATATACGCGTATAATTCAAAACGTGGTCATTATTTACCCCATTATTATTGCGATGACTTCCAGTATTTTAGTGATAATAAAGAGTAAACTCGGACCTGTGTAAAGTCACACTGTACAATTTCACAACCTGTTTAAATTCACACAATACTACTAACCCCATCTTGGGGTATATGTTTTAACATGGGCCTTATTTCACACTTGCGTATAATCACTT